AAGCAGAGCAAAAACGGGAATACTATCTGCTCTGGTAGCAGAAGACCCTTTGAGGTTAGACATTTGTTTTAAAACATTATTTTCGTGTATAGGCAAGAAATTAAATTTGTTTAACGTTTGGTCAGTGGTTTCCGAAATTACTTCAGCTCGGGTTACTCCCAATACATTGTCATAAAGGTCACCAGCTTCAGAAAAATGAAGGTTAAAATAGTCGACTATTTTTTGGGGATCTGAAAAACACTCCCCATTTCGGTTTAGTGTAACAGGCAGATTATCTGTTTTAGATGTTTTTTTCAATACATTTGATTGTTTTCCAGAAAATCCTGGCATTGCCATTTGATTCCAGGAGCGCGGAGGAAAAGTAAATATTTTTTGCATTTCGTATTTTTTAGGCACATCTATTTCTTAAAATCCTGTATTCTAGCCAGTCATTTATCAAGTTACTTTTATGAGCAGATGCCCAAGCCTTGATCCTAGTTTTCATGAGCTTAGTAATTAGAGGATCATACCATGGTGGGTGATTGTCTTTTATTTTAAATCTAACCAACGGAGCATGTTTTCTAAGAAATTTTGAGAAATGTGGATCTGAAGGTCTCCCAAGCCATTGTCAGGTCGGGGATATCACAGACATTGTCAATATCCGAGTTAAATACATCGTTTCTAAATGCCTGAATGCTGAAGTGTCTCAGGGAGTGCTTCTCAACCAATTTAGGGGGGATATTGGGTTTGGCCGATGATCTCACCCTAAATATGGAGTGATCGCTAAGGTTATTACCCAGAACACCAGTTAGTGTGAAATTGTGAGGGGCATTTGTCAATAGGACGTCAAGCAGTGATGAATGTCCCAGATTTTCTTAGTTGGGTCTTGTTGGGACATTTATTAATTGAAACAGGTTAAATTCATCTGTAAAATTTGAGTCCACAGCCGGTAGATTTAGCCAATTCCAATTTAGATCTCCCACTAAAACTATTTCACCTATAGCAACACACTACTAATATCTGTTCATTATTCGGGAGAGTTATTTTAATAGCCAGACCCTCAAAGCAACATTTTTTTACACGGAGTGAGCTGGTGAACATGCTATAGTATTACGGACATATATGGCAACTCCACCTCCTTTAGACCCTTGATCAAGCCGAAAATGGTTGTAGTTGTCAATCGTCATTTGCAAGTCATTTATGGCCGGAGTGAGAAACGTTTCTGTTAGGCAAAAAATGTCTGGGTCTAAATTTGCCACTTCTAGTTTTATTTGACTTTATTTATTTATGAGGCCTCTGATGTTTGCATGTAGAATACCAATACCTTTTCTGCTAGAAAAATCTACAGAATTAAACGAGGTCTTTTTATTTGGGCCTGGATGATGCTCAATACCTCCCAGAAAACACATTCCTGCAGAAGGATCTGGTAGGAACGTTGGGTTGCTCGGTCAATGACTAGGGTCAACGGCGGCGTGGTGTATTCCGCAAATATGCCCGACTGTGAGGGCGGGCACAAGCTGGCGTGAAGGGTGGGGACCGAGTGGGGACCTGGGATGGTGGAGAGAAAAAAAAAGCTGTTCCTCTAAAAAAAAGAGTATAATACCCATCGGGGGGTTGTTGAACAAGTTGTCATTCAATACTTACTCTACCTGGATGTGCATGTACCACCTAAAGCAGTCTCTCCCCCGCCTGAAAAGAGTGCAATTCTGCCAGCAGGCGGTGGTGGAAGACGGGTATCGCGTCCAGGTCGTACCACTCGAGGCAGTTCAGGACTCCGTCGCTGTCGCCATCGTGTGCGACGAAGCGGTCGTACAATTGCATGGTGTGAATGACATTAATGATGACATGCACGCCGCAGTCGTCTGTGTTTGGCTGCCGCGGCACAACCACACGAATGACACACAGCGGCGCTGCGACAGGCGTGTCAGGTGGCAGGACCCTGCGAACGAGATCGGTGGCAAACGCCTCGAGCGATCGTGCGTTGTCCGACCTGCCGTTGCTTCGCGCCAGCGAGTCGAGAACAAACACAGTCGTACCAGCCGGGCTGGCCGCGTTGGCAATCAGCAGGAGTTGCCAATGCGCCGCCTCATGGATCGGAATGATCCAGAGATGGCGCTGCAGCGCGCCGACATATGGGTGCTGCACGGGCATCGTCGTCCGGGCGCCGCGAGACGTACATCTGCGTGAAGAAGGTGACGATCTGGCTTTTCAACCAGTGCCACGGCGCCAGGCAGTCGAAGTCGTCCGCCGACCACGACATGCCAGTCGGGTAGTGCGCCGGCAGCGCCCGGAAATGCCTGTAGGCGACGGCAGCAGTCGGAATCTTCGGCGGCGCACATCTGCGTGTCCATGTCGCCCACGAGCAGGACGGAGATGCCACCGAACGGCTTCAGAGGGTCGAACATGGCACGCAGACGCCCGTCGAGCAGCACAAGGAAGCTGAACGGCAGCATTGACACCTGGTCAATGACGACGAGGTGCAGGCGTTTACATCTTGACGACCAGGTCACCAGCATTGAGGTCCTTGACCCACGACAACCACATCCGGGCGAACGACTGTCCGCTGGGCAGCGGTGCCGCCCCAATGCCAGTGCAGCAGCAGCACACCATCGTGCCGCCGCACTCCTTGATCACGTCCACCGTCTTGACGATGATGACGTAGCTTTTGCCGCACCCGCCACCGCCATGCATCATGGGCAACTGCTGTTCGCCGCTGTCGACCAGAGCGGACACGATGGCACGCTGGTCGTCGTTAAGGTCGGAGAGGTCGCACGAGGCGACCTTGTAGACGTCGCGGTCGAGCATGCGTTCGGCGGGGCCTGCATGGTCAGCGCCTTCGGCATTGCCCGCTTCGCTATTGTCCGGGTCGCGCGGCTGCTCTTCCAGCGCAGTGATGCATTTGCGCATCCTGTTCAGCGGCAACCGTTGGTGCAGGTCACCTCGCGCGCCCTCGTCGTTCAAAAGGGCCTCGTCATCAGCAACAGAGAAGACAATCGATCCCGGGTCACGAGCTGGCGCACCGCTGGCGGCCAGCAACTCGGCGGCCGCATGAGCGGCGTCGCCCCAAACGTCCTCGCACGTGCTCACCAACGCCTAGTTCGCCGCACGCACACGCAGATCGGGGTCGGACGCCGCTTGTACCAGCTCATTCAACTCGGACGGGCACAGCTGGCCGTGCGCCTCGCCGTCCCCATTGCCGTCGTCGTCAGGTCGCAGCACCGTCGGTTTCTTGACGTCGCCGCGCTGGCCCCAGTAGTCAGTGTTCCATTCGCGCCAGACGCTGGTGATCTCCTCATTGTGGCTGCAGCGAAATCGCATCAGCATGAGGTTGTTGACGAAGCGGAAGTGCTGGCGGTTGACCAGGCTGGTCGACCACCGGTCCCATTGGTGAAGGAGCTGTGCGAGTCCGTCGCCGTCGCGCTCAAACTGCGGGTCCGTGCCCGACATCCACGGCACGACCAAATCGAGCACGTACTTGGCAAACGGCAACAGTTTGCGCTGCCACGCGGACACCAGCTCCTCGTCGAAGGGCTTATTGCCCAGGAACGACAGCGGCGGACGACCCGCCAGCACGGCAGTGCGCATCTTATGCCGGATGACGGCCTCAAAGTCGTTGGCCAGCGGGTGGTCTGCGCCCAGCACAAATGCCGGCCGTGTCAGCCGCCCTGCGGCTGCGGCGGCGGCGGTACCACTGTCGCAAGGTGTGGCGCGTGCCTTCTTCCGCTGCAGCTTGACAATCGATTAAAATTCTAGGTACCAGTAGACCTCGGTTGTCGTACAATTCGGCCTGCGACATGAACACGTGTGAGAGGATGTGGTCTGTGAGAGGTTGAGTTGTTTGAGAGGCTGAGGTGTGTGAGAGGTTGTGTTGTTTGAGAGGCTGCGGTGTGTGAGAGGTTGCGGTGTGTGAGAGGCTGTGGTGTGTGAGAGGATGTGGTGTGTGAGAGGCTGAGGTGTGTGAGAGGCTGTGGTGTGTGAGAGGATGTGTTGTTTGAGAGGCTGAGGTATGTGAGAGGTTGTGGTGTGTGAGAGACTGTGGTGTTTGAGAGGCCAGAGGCCCTCAGTCCCCGAAGGCGTGCTAGTGCGATTCCGGCCCTCTTGGCTTGACCACTCTCCGTTTTGCCCACTACCGATAAGCAGCATTGCCGCGGCGGTGGCGGCGCTGAGCAGCTGTTTGCTTGCGTGGTCGTCCTGCATTTGTTGGTATGCCGTGTTAGCGACTTGACGATGAGCAGGAACACGCAACGCTTGAGAGCCGGCAGGTGGGCCCGGCGCTCGCGGGGGTCGGCCTTCACCCAGCTCTCGAGCGTCCAGTACTCCGACTACTTGGAGGTGCATGCGAGGTTGTTGCTTGGCAGAACCTCGTGCAGCTCTGCTGGACTCAGCTCGAGGAACACCTCGGTGCAGCGGACCTCTTCGAAGCGCTGCTGCTGGAAGCGCCACACCGCTAGGCATTGCTTGGGGCAGCCGTGAGCGTCGGTGAAGCGCGCGATGTCGAAGCAGTTGGCTGGGTCGAGCTGGTAGTCGAGGAACTCGCAGTGCTCTTTGAGCGCCAGCCTCACCTCGACGAGGGGGGGCGCCACCACGGCCTATGTGCGGAAGAGGTGCAGTGCTCACCCACCCACAAACGCGCTAACCCACCCACAAACCCACCTACTCACCCACTCAGTCACTTACCCACTCAGTCACTCACCCACTCAGTCACTCACCCAACCACTCATCCACCCATTCACCCACCCAATCACACACTCACTCACTCATCCACTCACTCACTCATTCATCCACTCACTCACTCGTCCACTCAACCACCCACTCAACCCTCAACCACCCACTCACCCACCCACCCAATCACCCACTCACTCACTCACTCACACACTCACTCATCCACTCAGGTTACGTTCCTGTGGTAATGTTCTACCACACTTAAGTACGTGCAAAAACTTTCTTAACATATGAACCACCCTATATATACTTCTTACGAAATGTATATATATGAATGGATGCGTGCTGATGGCGCACAGGCATTAACGGGCGGAGCCCCGGGCTACATCTACACCACCGGTGACAGGGACGGCTATTGGAGCGTCGTCTGCGCCAGTGCGCCCGCGCCCGGCGAGCACCCGTCCCGGATTACGACCTCGATAAGTCTCCTGAATATCCTCGCCAACATCTACGCCGTAGGCTGCTCGCCCAACGAATGCTGGGTCTGCGACTCCTCATCCCGTATGTGGCATAAGCCCAACGTTGACTGCACCAACACGACGTGGGTGAGGAGTCCAAACAGTCCGGCTTTAGCCAAGAAAATAGAGGTGGACTCCACGGGTGGAGTCTACTTCCTCGGAACCGATGCACGACTCTACTACAGGTTGGAGTTGTGTTGTTTATTCTATGGGTCTCATTTTTTATTCTGTGGGTGGCAATGTTAAGTCTATGGGTCTCATTGTTGAGTCTGTGGGTGGCAATGTTGAGTCTATGGGTCTCAGTGCTAAGTCTATGGTGCAGTGCTGAATCTATGCGTGACAGTGCTGAGTTTATGGGTCTCAGTGCTGAGTCTATGATGCAGTGTTGAGTCTATGGGCAGTGCTGTTAAGGCTATGATGCAGTCTTGAGTGTTTGGGCAGTGCTGAGTATATTGGTATGTTTGAGCCTATGGTGCAGTGTTGAGTCTATGGGCAGTGTTGAGTCTATGGGTAGCAGTGTCAGTCTATGGATGGCAGTGTTGAGTCTCATAGGTGGCAGTGGAGTCTCATGCGTGGCAGTGCTGACTATGGCTGGCAGTGTTGAGTCTATGGGTGGCAGTGTTGAGTCTATGGGTGGCGGTGTTGAGCATATGGGTGGCATTGCTGACTCTATGGGTGGCAGTGTTGAGTCTATAGGTGGTATTGCTTAGTCTATGTGTGGCAGTGCTGAGTCTATGGTGCGGTGCTGAGTCTATGTTGTCTCTGTTCTTCACGCAGGGCTGTGAATGACGCGGCGTGGACTCAGCCAATTCCCGGTGGATACTTCTTGTCCATCACTGTACACGAATCTAACCTTATCGTCATAGACGCCTATGGAACCATGGAGATATGCAAACTCACTCACTCACCTGTTTGCCCCCTTACCCACCAACTCACCCACCCACCCTCTCACTCGCCCACCCTCTCACTCAACCACCCACTCATATACCCACCCATGCACCAACCCACTCACTCAACCACCCACTCATACACTCACTCACCCACCCACTCTCTCACCCATCCATTATCTCACCCACTCACCTATCCACTCATCCACCCACTCTCTCAACCACTCACCCATTCACCCACCCACTCACCCACCTACTTACCCACCCACTCACTCACAAACTTACCTGCCCACTCACTCACTTACCCACTCACTCCCCCACTCATTCACTCACCCATCCACCCACTCACACACCCATTCACCCGCTCACCCACCCACTCACCCACCCACTCACTCGCCCTCCCACTCACCTGCCCACCCACTCATCCACCTAGGTGATAGATACGTGGTGGTGGTGAGTCTTTTATTGTTGTTGTGTTTTGAGATTAAATGTAACGAAATAAGAACATTCAACAAAGAGTGCAATCTACGGAACTTCAATGGACAGTCATTCAGCAGCCTTTACAGAGACACCTCGATGTACAAAGATGTTATCTGCCTCGTCTGGTATCCTGGAGGTCTTGGATGATGGTGGTGATGGTGGTGGTGACGGGGGTAATGGCGATGGTGGTTGTGATGGTGGTGGTCGTAGTCATGGTGGTGGTAGGTGATGTGGATGGTGGTGATGGTGGCGAGGATGGTGGTGATGGTGGTGGTTATGGCGATGGTGGTGATGGGGGTGATGGGTATGGTAGTGGTGTTGTATTTATTGTTCTACAAAACAAATTAAATGTAAAAATGAAATGAGAAAATAAAAAAATGAAAATTACGTAAAATGTGTTAATGTAGTTAATTAAGTGTGATTAACAAAAAATAGGCGTTAGGTGTAATTAAGAATGTGTTAAAAATGTGTTATATGATTAATGTATGTGTTAGTGTTTGTGCATTCCTAAACAGCTTTTGTTCGACCGGATCGAGAGGGCTAAACGGGCGTGGCACGGGCTAGAGAAGAGATGGGAGTGATGTGGTACAGGAGGATGTGTACCTGAGTGGACTTGCCGATGACTGGTACCATCGATGTCAAGATCGGCCTCTGTGGAGGGGGCTCGTGAAGGACGCTACTGGGCAGTTGGAGGCAGTCGCCCTCCAACAACAACAGTGGGCGGAGGAGCGATGCTCACAACATCTAGCGGAGTACCGGGTGAGCACAGGTGGTGCATCAGCCAGTCATCTCAGTCAGTCGACCCGTGGCACCTGGGTCCTCCTGCCAGCGGGCGTTCGACACTTCACGTGGCCTCAATGTGCACATAGCCTGGCACAAGCGTCGTGGTGACGTCACAGACACTTAGTGGCAAATTGCGGTTGTTGTTGTGTGTGATTGTGTTGTCTAAGGGTATGTATGTGTGATTATGTGTTGTCTAAGGGTATGTATGTGTGATTATGTGTTGTCTAAGGGCAGTGGCGGCTCCTGCAAAATCTCTCAGGGGGGGCAAATGTTTGGATCCATGCAATGGATAAATTAACAGCTTAAGCATGTAAAGGCAACTTCACTACTTTAATATTAATGAAAAATAAAGTGACTCTTACAATACATCTCCTTGTTTGTTTCTATACTCACTATTATTACACTGCTTACATTACTCGCTTAATACACTGCTTACTTATGCTGAAATTTTGCTCTTCTCTCTTTCAAAGTAGCAAAGTGATCAATTACTCTCTCATTGAAAGCAGGCATGTTCCTGACTAGTTCCCTCTCCATGGAAAGCATAGCCAGTGCATTCAGACGTTCCTGTCCCATTACATTTCTCAGGAATGTCTTGATTCTCTTTAAGGTTGGAAACACCATTCAGCTTCAGCAGTTGTCATGGGAGTGGTTATGAGGATGTTCAACAGAGCAACAGTCTCTGAAAAAGTATCCTGGAGGTTGTACTTCAGCAAAACCTGGTACAGCGCCAGTGCACCACAGCAGCCCTTGAATTCTGGACTCTCATAAATGAGAGACAGTTCAGTCTTCAGCTTCGCCTTATTTAACATAGGGTATGCCCTGACAGTGATGTTCAGAGCCTCAACAGGGAATGTATGGCCATACTGTTGAAACATCTCTCCTTGTAGCAGCGTGGCACTTACAAGGTGGTCGGTAAAGGAGAACCTTTCTTTGGTGTGGACCAAGCCATGCTGTTGAAACATCTCTCCTTGTAGCAGCGTGGCACTTACAAGGTGGTCGGTAAAGGAGAATATTTATGAGAATATAAATATGGAGATACAAGGTTTCCATCCCGACAGCAACAATGTATCAGGCAGAATCCATATTTTATATCTCCATATTTTTTCAAAAATTAATGCTATTGGTCACCCTTTACATCTGTCAATGTGTTTTACAAATATTTAACCAATGAAAAGCATTAAAAGAGCTTGGAAATTATTTTGGGGAAAAAACAGGTTTTCTTTCGTTTCCTGAAAAGTAACCGTTTTGGACATACAAGGCTTCCGTCCGACAGCGATGATTTGTGTGTGTGTGTTATTACGTTAATTAACATTTTACCAAAATTCAAGCTCAAATGGAGTTTGACAAGGGTTTTTGACCAGTAAATGTATTTTAAATCCACTCAGATGACGTAAGTACGTTAGTGCGAGCCCTCCCGGAACCCATAGAGAATGCATTGCAGCGCCTGCAGTTCGAAAAAAAACATCTTTGAATGTAAGTCTATGGGAACACTCTGGGCGATTCTCAGCCAGAGTGAAATCGCCCAAAAAGAGGCGGTACTCCACAGAACGTGACATGACGCTGATTGGACTAGATCCAGAGGCACAGTGATGGCTAGCGTAACTCTGTGGTTGAATAAGATTGTGAATGTGATTGAAAAAGTCCCTTTCACACTTTGGTGGTGGGTCGCCCAATCGCCCTAATGAAGAAACCGCCCCTGTCTAAGGGTATGTGTGTGTGATTATGTGTTGTCTAAGGGTATGTGTGTGTGATTATGTGTTGTCTAAGGGTATGTATGTGTGATTATGTGTTGTCTAAGGGTATATATGTGTGATTATGTGTGTGTCGTTATTATGTTGTGCGAAGTATTATTGGCTCTCTCGTTGTCTAGGGGTATGCATCACCGATCGAGATAATATCAATGATTCTGGCTTCAAAATGTATGATACTCGCTTCAACATTTATGATTCTCGCTTCAAAAATTTATGATACTTGCTTCAACATTTTTGATTCTCGCTTCAAAATTTATGATACTCGCTTTAATAGTTACGTGTGAAATTATGTCAGGTCTTCAGGATTCAGATCTCAACGCAGGATACAGTTCGTCATTACGATAATGACGAACGAATTTAGTAAAGAAGCACACGGAAATCTGCTTTTCATCTAAGCAACTTTAATCTTAACTTAACCTAACATCCAAGAACTCTTATCATCAGAATTCCCACAGTGCCCATGCAAACATACGTCATCAATCCGTACTGGATGAGCATCTCAGCAGCACGGGCATATGTAGTACTAATCACATTCCTGCATTTCCCATAAATATGCTAAATTCCTCTTGATATGCAAATTCTTTTGTCAAGGCGCTCTTTCCCCCGCTTCCAACCCAGCTTATATATGCTCCAAGCTCGTGTGCTGTTTCATTCAGACGCTGTCTCTCCAACAGACCTGGTTTTCACCTGAGGATGGCTGCTTGCGTTGTGGCCGAAACGTCGTGAGAATTATTTTATTACTTCCCTTCTATGTGACTTTACCGAAAGAACCAAGAAGATGAATCCCTGCAGTCACGAAAGCTTTAAATGGAAAGATATCCTCTCATGTAGTTGTTCCTTTGATGCTTTGCAGTGCAGCAAGCTCTTCTGTGACTTCGAAATAGTCATTCGTCGCACGAATAAAAAATTTGAAGTTGTGCAGAATCACGAACATCATTGCTTTCGTCGAGTGCCAAGGAAAAATAGGAAAGTTTTTTTGTGGAGTTTTGCAAATGCTGATGCAAATTGTCTCCCATTTCTTCAATCCTCCGTGTAATTGTAGGTCCTAAAATACTCACTGTACTAAATAAATCGGCCTTCTCTGGACACATCTCTTTGGCAACAGAAAGAAGGCATTCTTTAACAAATTCTCCCTCCACGAATGGTCTGCCAGTGCATGCTATTAGCTTGGCAACTTGAAAACTTGCTCGCAGTGATGAAATATTTAGCTGCTTCTGCTTCACAAAAGTATTTTGCTGAGTTGTTAATGTATTTTTCAGTTTTAATATTTTATCTATTCTCACTTCTCCGACCAAACAAGCATATTTATCTTTCTGTTGAGTTTCATAGTGTCGACGTAAATTATATTCTTTGAACACAGACACTATATTCTGGCATATCAGACACACAGCTCTTTCCTTGTACTGCATGAAAAAGTAATCATAAGTCCACTGTTCTTTGAATATCCGACACTCCGAGTCAATTTTTCTCTTTCTTGACATCATTGTTTCCTAGGGAGTCAAAATTGCTATTAGTAAAATACCAATATATATACAGTGCTACAAAAACAATATACCAGCAATAACTTTGCCCACACAGAGACATACAGACTCCACTGCCCATCAATGCAGTCTGATTGGGGGAAACTCCGCCCCCTCTCCCTCTTCCACCAATGACCGTCCTTCTCATGTAGAAAAAAAGTAACAGGCAGGCAGCGGCGGCAAAAACACCCGGCGGGCCGGATAAATGTCCTCGGCGGGCCGCATGTGGCCCGCGGGCCGTAGTTTGAGGACCCCTGCAATAGAGTATTGTAATTAATAAATACATACAGTATTTAGTGTATACAGTACAGTACTGTAAATTGCTCTGTTTTGCTAAATTGTCACCATTTTTTAAGACTCTTGGGTAGGCTAGGCCATCTTCGACTTACGATTTTTTCGACTTACGATGGGGTTGTCGTAACGCATCTCCATCGTAAGTAGAGGACTACCTGTATTCAGAAAACGTCAAAGATCGTATCTCACAATCACGTGATCAGAATAAAACATTAGCCTTCCTCATGGTAACGCGACCATACACAATTCCCTTGTAATGGTGTGTGAGATTCGTATTGGCCCACAACCTGTGCAAGGTAAGTTAACAATAGTGAGTGAGTGTAAAGTTAATGTTTCTCCTTGGTCCACAGCTGTAGTGCCCTCACGGCCCTGCTGCTTGCCGCTCCTTCGCACCGTTGTCTCTGCATCGTGCTCGACCCACACTGGAGGGCGCTCGGGGCTCCCGAGTCAGCACGCTCGTGGTCAGCCGTCAGCTGCTGCGCTGCACGTTTGCAGGTTATCTGCACGCCAGGCTCGATCTGCAGTTAAAGTGCTCTGTGGCCACGCTGCTCCTCATTCCTTGTCGGCAGCTGCCTGCTTTGCACGAGCACCCTTGGTGCTCCCCCCTCACTTCCTCGGGAGGTCTCCTGCTCCTCGCTCACTCTCCAAAACTGATCGAAACTCTTATCATCAGAATATCAGTCACTTGGACAACGTAACTTTTACAGCCTATAACATTTCATGCACACTCTATATTGGTGCATAACTCAAATCACCACTTAGCTTCTCACATGTAGTAGCTGATCACAGTATTCATAATAGAGGTTTTTGATGATATTGTTTGCGAAAGCCTACGTGTTAAACAGATCACAGTATTATATGAAAATGCATTGGCACACTTCTTAGCTTCTCACAACTCTTAGCTTAGTACAGTACGACTTCTCGAAGTCCTTGACTCTGCAAGTGACTCAAACAAAAGGGAAAATGTCGAATAAACTTTCAGCGATACTTAGAGTCTGTCAGCGCAGAACTCGACACTTAGCAACACAGAGCCTTTGCCTCTGCAAAACACAGAAATTGGCTGGTTACGGGTGCCCCCAGAGTTTGTCTCTGCAAAATTGACTTGTATGATTTTGGGTGCTGTTTATATAGGATTTCTATCTCATGTGATTAATTACCTAAGATACGTTATGGTCTAGCGTTCTCCTCCGGGAAAATGTCAAAACTGGGTGGTTTTTAACTTTTGCCGACAAAACTGGATCCCAAATGTCAAAACTGGGTGCACCCTGGGTGGCCAAAAACTTGAGTTTTGGACACTCAGGGTGCACCCAGTTTTGACATTTGTCAAATACACTTGATAATTGTATACTAGCACAGTGTGCCAGCACCCCATTCATCCAAACACTTGGTATTTGTATACTGGCACACTGTGCCAGCACCCCATTCATCTAAACACTTGGTATTAGTATGCTGGCACAGTGTGCCAGCACCATATAACTACACACACTTGATATTTGTACGCTGGCACAGTGTGCCAGCACCCCAACGACCAACATTTCAAGCTACGGCTCGGACTCGGAAGTGAGCTCGGGGCGGGCTTGCGACCAGGCGGGCGCACTGCCACCTTGCGTGATGACCTAGACTAGTGACTCGCGTCAATACCAAACTTTTGGATTGTTGGTTGATGCTACGCGCTACTGTACACCCTT